TGGGCTCAAGCGATCCTGCTGCCTCAGCCTCCCGAGTAGCTGGGACTACAGGCATGCACCACCATGCCCAGCTAATTTTTTATATATATTAGTTGGCCATTATAGTAGAGACGGGGTCTCGCCCTTGCTCAGGTTGGTTTCGAACTCCTGAACTCAAACGATCTGCCCGCCTCGGCCTCCCAGAGAGCTAGGATTACAGGCGTGAGCCACTGCGCCCGGCCTACTTTTAGTTTCTTAAGGAACCTCCATACCATTCTTAATAGTGGCTGTATTAATTTACATTCCCACCAACAGTTTATGAGGGTTCCCCTTTCTCCACATCCTGGTCAGCATCTGTTATCGCCTTTTTGATAAAAGCCATTTTAACTGGGTAAGATGATATCTCATTGTAGTTTTTATTTGCATCTGATGACAAATGACGTTAAGCATTTTTCATATACCTGTTGGCCATCTGTATGTCTTCTTTGAGAAATATACATTCAGATCCTTTGCCCATTTTGTAATTGGATTATTTGATTTTTTCTTATTGAGGTATTGGTACTGCTTAATATTCTGGTTATTAATTCTTTGTCACATGGGTAGTTTGCAAATATTTTCTCCCATTCTCTGGGTAGTGTCTTCACTTGGTTGATTATTTCCTTTGCTGTGCAGAAGCCTCATGTGATCCCACTAGTACAATTTTGCTTTTGTTGATTGTGCTTTGGGGGTGCTCAAGAAATCATTGCCCAGACTAATGCCCTAAAGCATTTCCCCAATGTTTTCTTTTAGTAAATTCATAGTTTCAGGTCTTAGATTTAAGTGTTTAATCCATGTTGATTTGATTTTTATAAGTGAGAGGGTCTAGTTTCATTCTTCTGCACATGGATATCCAGTTAACCCAGCATCATTTATTGAAAAGACTGTCCTTTCCCCACTGTTATGTTCTTGGCACCTTTGTCAACGATAAGTTTACTATAGATGTATGGATTTATTTCTGGGTTCTCTATTCTGTTCCATTGGTTTATGTGTCTGTTTTTATGCCAGTACCATGCTGTGTTGGCTACTACAGCTCTGCAATCTAGTCTGAGGTCAAATAATGTGATTCCTCTAGGGTTTTTTGTTTGTTTGTTTGTTTTGTTTTTGCTCAGGCTATTCTTGGTCTTTTGTGGGTTTTACTTAGGCTTTGGCTATTTTGAGTCTTTTGTGGTCCCATATAAATTTTAGGATTATTTTTTCTATTTCTGTGAAGAATGTCTTTGGTATTTTGATGGGGATTGCACAGAATCTGCAGATTGTTTTCACTATAGAGACCTTTCACTTCTTTGGTAAAGTTTATTACTATTTTATTTGTAACTACTACAAATGGGATTACTTTCTTGGTTTCTTTTTCAGATTGTTTACTCTTGGTATATGGAAATGCTACTGATTTTTGTATGTTGATTTGGTATTCTCTAACTTTACTGAATTTGTCAGTTCTAATAGTTTTTTTGTGTGTGTGTGGAATCTTTAGATTTCTCTATATATAGGATCATATTGTCTGCAAGCAAGGATAATTTGACTTCTTCCTTTCCAATTTGGATACCCTTTATTACTTTTCTCTTGTCTGACTGCTCTGGCTAGAACTAGTCCTATGTTAACAGTGATGAAAGTGGGCATCCTTGTCTTGTTCTGGGCCTTAGAAGAAAGGCTTCCAATTATTCCCCATTCAGTATGATATTAGCTGTGAGTCTGTCATATATGGCTTTTCTCATGTTGAGGTAGGCTCCTTTTATATCTAGTTTTTCAGAGTTTTTATCATGAAGGGGTGTTAAATTTTATTGAATACTTCTCTAGCATCAATTGAAATAATCATATGGTTTTTTGTCCTTGGTTTTGTTGATATGATATGTCACATTGATTGATCTGTGTATGTTATTAAACCATCCTTACATCTCTGGGATGAGTCCCACTTGATCATGATGAATAATCTTTGTAATGTGTTGTTGAATTTGGTTTGCTAGTGTTTTGTTGAGGATTTTTGCACCTATGTTCATCATAGATATTGGCATGTAGTTTTTTATTTATTTATTCTGGTTTTGGTATTAGGGTGATACAGGCCTTATAAAATAAGTTTGGGAGTATTCTCTCCTCATCAATTTCTTGGAATAGTTCATGTAGGATTGGTATTATTTCTTCTTAGAATGCTTGGTAGAATTTAGCAGTGACCCTATTGGGTTCTGGGCTTTTCTTTGATGGGAGCCTTTTTATTACTGCTTTTATCCCCTTACTTGTTATTGGTTTATTCAGGTTTTGGATTTCTTTCTGGTTCAATCTTGGTAGGCTGTATGTGTCTAGGGATTTATCCATTTCTTCTAGGTTTTCCAATTTATTGGCATGTAATTGATCATAGTTGTTGTCTCTAATGATCATTTGGATTTCTGTAGCATCAGCTGTAATGTCTCCTCTTTCATCTCTAATTTATTTGGGTCTTCTTTTTTTTCTTAGTCTGGCTAAAGAATTGTCAATTTTGTTTATCTTTTCAGAAAACCAACTATTTGTTTCATTGATCTTTTGTATTTTTGTGTTTCAATTTCATTTATTTCTGCTCTATTCTTTTCTTCTACTAATCTTGGGTTTGGTTTGTTCTTTTTAGTTATTTGAGATGCATCATTAGGTTATTTGAAGCTTTTCTACCTTTTTGACACAGGCATTTATTGCTATAAACTTTCTTCTTGTTACTGCTTTTTCTATATCCCTTAGGTTTTGATATGTTGTGTTTTCATTTTCATTTGTTTCAAGAAATTTTTTATTTCCTTCTTAATCTTTTCATTGACCCACTGGTCATTCAGGAGCATATTGTTTATTTTTCATATGTTTGTATATTTTCCATTGTCACATGTGGTAGCTGAAAATTTTGTGTGCCTTGTATCCTTCCCTAATTTTTCTGGTAATAGACATTGTCCCACTGGCTTCAGATGAGCAGATGACACCATTCCATTCACAGAATTCTTGTTATATATTTCTAGTTTTATTCCACTGCAGTCAGAAAAAATACTTGGTATGATTTCAATTTAAAAAAAATTTTTAAGACTCAGTTTGTGGCCCAACTGCCTTACAAATTCAGTCCAGGCCCCACACTTTTTTTTTCTTCCAGCTAGTGGTAGGGTTAGCTGGAACTCAGTTTCAGGGCAGAGGATTTCCCTTTGGCAGGTCTGGTCTAAACGCTCCCTCTATGGGAACAGGCAGAATTCTACCCTGTGCTGTGTTCCCCTGTGCCAGGGTAGCCCTGGGTTTCAATGCAAAGTCCCACAGTCACTTCACTCTCCCTCCTCCAGGCACCCAGATTCTCTCTGCACTAGATATGCTGGTGCAGCACTGCTGGGGGATGGGAGTGGGGTGGCATAGGCAATGCAAGATTGTCTTTTATGCCCTCTTCAGCACCTCTTTCCTAGATATAATGTCAAAACCAAGTGATTGCTCACATGGCTTTGGGTTTTTCTGAAGGTATTTACTTATGTGGTTAGTTGTTGAATTTGGTGTTCCCGCAGAGGGACAGTTGCTGGAGATTTCTATTCAGCCATCTTGCTCCACCCCTAATAAATTATTTTTAAATAAATGGCAGACATGTGGCTGGCCTCTGGGAAACCTCCATCCAGGAATCTGAATGGCATTAGGACATATTCTATTTTTTAAAATTTTTATTTAGTTAGTTTTTTTGAGACAGAGTCTCACTCTGTTACCCAAGCTAGAGTGTCGTGGCATCAGCCTAGCTCACAGCAACCTCAAACTCCTGGGCTCAAGCAATTCTCCAGCCTCCCGAGTACTGGGACTATAGGCATGCGCCACCATACCCAGCTAATTTTTTTTTTTTTTTTTTTTTTCGGCCTATTATGGGGGCCAGCTAATTTTTTCTATATATTTTTAGTTGACCAATTAATGTCTTTCTATTTTTAGTAGAGACAGGGTCTTGCTCTTGCTCAGGCTGGTTTTGAACTCCTGACCTTGAGCAATCTGCCCGCCTTGACCTCCCAGAGTGCTTAGGATTACAGGTGTGAGCCACCGGCCCCTATTTTATTTTTATTTCCTATTTTTGTCTGTGTCTGAGTGTTCACTTTATTCTCTCAGGCTGCCTGTCCTCATAGGGCTGGAACTATGGCTGCAGGCTGCTTTGGACATATAGCCAAATAGTCCTACTCATGTGACCAGGGTGAAAAAAGTTCTCTGGTTGCTCTAGTTTTAAAAATGCTATGGAAGTATTCCAATTGGCTAGACTTACATCAAATAAAGTCATCTTAAGATCAATCACCAGGAGAATAGAATTCTGTGAATCGAACCAGGCCATCTGCTCATCTGAAGCCAGGGAGACAATGTCTATTACCAGAAAAGTTGGGGAAGGATGCAGGGCACACAATATTCAGCTACCACATGTGAAACTGCAACTCTGAGACAGACTGATGGGATCAGATGCTGCTGTTATAGTAGCTTTTCTATGGATTGATTTTCCAATAATCTGTCCTTTAATAATTCCTGAATTATTGTCTTGTATTTTCCTATCCTTTCTATAACAAAGAACCACTTTATGTTCAGGAATTAGCAGATTAAGTTAGGGGAATACATGAATTAAAAATCTATTTTTACGTTCACCATCCTTCACAACTTAGTATCAGTAGCAAATTTAGTAAAAATTATCCACAATTTACAACATAAAATTGACTTCAGCATTTACCTCTTTAGCCCTTGACAATTTTTACATAGCTTTATTTTGTAAACTTGTAGATCCTCTTGGGAGACCTTCAAGAAATACATGAAAGCAAAGATAACTAAAACTACCTGAAATTCCTATTATCCAGAGATAACTGTCATTAACATTTAGGTGAACATTCTACAATCTTCCTAGGCATACATACATATATATGGATATAATTTTACATAATTATTGAATCACTCATTTTGGAAAGAAAATCTATTAAACACCAAAATTTTAAATCACTGTAGAAATGCCTGTGCTCCAAAATAATTTATTGTTATATTTTTGTCAACAGGTAATACTACAGATCTCTTACAGGAAGCAGAAGTGCATTATATTGCTCGAAATATTTGTAATTCTGAGAGAAGTTATGCAGGAATAATTCCTGACACTTCGTTTTGTGCAGGTGATGAAAATGGACATTTTGATACTTGCAGGGTAAGACCAAATAATTTTCCTTAAAAATATTTTCTGAAGCCTGAAGGGAATGTGAACAAGGCTTTTAATCACTTACTGGAGGTTTTAATTATCAGATGTAAAAATACTGAATTCTTTTTTTTCCTTTTTAACAATCCAACAATCCAAATCTTAGTTTCTGATTCCTTGGTTTCATCATGGTCCACTTTAGGCAAAATTTGCCTTGTATCTTTTTTTTTATCATCATCTTTGAGATATAATTCACCTATTTAAAGTATAAAATTCACTGACCAGGCACGGTGGCTCATGCCTGTAATCCTAGCACTCTGGGAGGCTGAGGTGGGAGGATTGCTCAAGGTCAGGAGTTCGAAACTAGCCTGACCAAGAGCGAGACCCCATCTCCACTAAAAATAGAAATAAATTAATTGGACAACTAAAAATATATAGAAAAAATTAGCTGGGCATTGTGGCACATGCCTGTAGTCCCAGCTACTCAGGAGGCTGAAGCAGAAGGATCGTTTGAGCCCAGGAGTTCGAGGTTGCTGTGAGGTAGGCTGAGGCCACAACACTCTAGCCAGGGCAACAGAGTGAGACTCTGTCTCAAAATAAATAAATAAATAAAACTAAAGTATAAAATTCAATGTTTTTTTTAAGTGTATGCATAGAGTTGTGCAACTATCACCATAATCTAATTTTAGAACATTTTTGTCACACCCAAAAGGAGCCCATACCCATTAGGAATCACTCCTCCATTCTCCTCCCACCCACCTCTAGTCCTAGGCAACCACTAATCTCTGTAGAGTTGCTGATCTTGGACACTGCCTATTCTGTACTTTCATGAAATAATTCAATAGGTGGTCTTTTATGACTGATTTCTTTCACTTAGCATACTGTTTTCAAGGTTCGCCCATGTTGTATAATGTATCAATATTTTATTAATTTTTTTGCCAAATAATGTACCATTGTATGGATATACCATGTTTCATTCACCCATTCATTAGTTGATGGACATTTAGGCTGTTTTCATTTACTGGCTTTTATGAATAATATTTCCACAAACATACATTTTTGTGTATCTACATGTCTTCATTTATCTTAGAAACTCCACCTAAGAGTAGAATCACTCAGTTAATGTTTAACATTTTTAGGAACTGCCAAACTATATTCCAAAATGGCAGCACCATTTTACCTTCCCACAAGCAGGGCATGAGGATTACACTTTCTCCACAGCCTTGTCAGTACTTGTTATTGTCTATATTTTTTTATTATAGCTATTCCTGTGGGTGTGAAGTAGTATTTCATTGTGGTTTTAATTGCATTTATTATCCATTTATATGTCTTTTTCAGAGAATGTCTATTTGGATCGTTTTTTCATTTTGAAATTTTCTTATTTGTCTTTTTATCATTGAGTTGAAGCATTCTTCATATATGCTGGATACAGGTCCCTTACTAGATATATGATAAACAAATATTTTCTCCCATTCTGTGGATTGTTTTTCACTTTTCTGATGTTTTTGTGTATAGCACAAAAGTCAATTTTTTATGCAGTCTGACTGATCAATTTCTTGTTTTCTCTTGTTATGCTTTTTGACTCTTTATTCCCATTTTCCTCACTATTTTCAAACCTACCAGTCCTTCATTCCCAAGAGCATCCCAGACTCTTATCTTTCCCTACTCATTCCCATTTCTGAAATCTAAGATTAATCTTTCCTGTGTCTTTTTCCTTAAAAATCTTGCTGAGTAAAACAGTAAAGAATCCAATCCAATTGAATTGCATTCCTAGGCAAAACATCCTTATCATCAAAAAGAAATTACTCAATACCTGCCTTACACAGAGAGTTAAAACACAGACCTTAACTTTTACACACTAAAACAGTTATTTCAGTGTCCTTGATTTGAGTGTATCAACAGGCCTTAGTAGCCAGTGTTTGAGTCTTGTATAAACTGTGAAAGAAATCTGTTATTTATAATACACTGAGTTTCTGCTCTTTATTCCCCTTTTGCTACACTACCCAATGTCAACACTTAGAAAGATGTCATCTCTTGCAAGATGCCAGTTTATGCCTCTTTCGCTAGCAAATCACATACAAACCTAAAAGAATCCTTCATACACCTTAAAGTTATGCCTTTCACATACAGTTTCAAGAGAAATATTCTAATTGACAGTTTTTGCAATATTTTACATACTTCCTAAATTACATTTCTCCTGAGCAATTGCATTAAAAATCCAAACAATTTTATTTGGTTCAAAACTATGCAGATGAGAAGTTTATCTATAAACTGTATAGTTCCTCCAAATATCTGAGCAGGCTGAATACCTCCTGTTTGAGTTGGAATATTGAACTCAAAATCTATGGATCTTTAACATTTGGGGAGTATATTTAAAATGTATATTTATATAAATCTATGTATAATGTAATTAATTTTTCCCAGTTCTACTGCTGCCTAACGAATACTAGAAGTAACTAACACTATTTTGGGGCTTTTTTTGATAGGGTGATAGTGGTGGACCGTTAATGTGCTACTTACCAGAACATAAAAGATTTTTTGTAATGGGAATTACCAGTTACGGACATGGCTGTGGTCGAAGAAATTTTCCTGGTATCTATTGTGGGCCATCCTTCTTTCAAAAGTGGCTGACAGATCACTTCTCCCAGACAAGCGCTAAAGGCACATTGAATATAAATATTTTACTTAGACAGATCTTCATGGCTTTAGGTTCTGTTATCTTATTAGCAACAACCTAAAGAAATTCTGAAGACTTTAGTATCTTTACTTTGCATGTGTCTCTGTGTTCTACATAATGAAAATCATTTATTCATTTATGAATTAATTGCCCGTGTTAGACTTTTTATGTGAACATTTTTCAAAATATAAGGATTTTGTCAGATTAGATATACTATTGTAAATTTGTCACTGAATCACATGCTTCCTTGATGTGTCTTGATTGTTTTACTTTATAATCATAATTTTGTATTTGGAATACTTTCCTAGAGTTTGTATAAATTCAGTTAAATATATTCTTCATGTATATAAATGCCAAATAATAAAGAGTTTACAATTAAAATGAAAGCTGTTCTTTAGTTAAATTAATCAAAACTACTTTTAAGTTACATTTGATTTAATTTATTATGTTTTTGAATTATTATCAAACAATTTGGAGAAATAAGCATGCATTTGCCTATTATTTAAATTCTCATTAAAGGAATTAATTTGATATCAATACTTCATTTACTATGCCAAGAGAGAACTATGGTTCAGACATAGCTTACTTTTACTTTTTATTTAGAAATTTATAATGTCACTTTTTTCCAGGATTATAACCTACTTTCTAAACCTTATTTTCTTGACTGATGCTGAATGTTTGTATTTTGTGGGTGCTCTGAATTAACTGTGAGGAAAGTGACAGGAAAGCGTGCTAGGTACAAGAGGGAAACCAACCTGGGATAAACTTTATGATGGCTATTCTATAAAATGAATTCGAAGGAACAAAAGAAAATGAAGAGAATGAAACAAAATATAAAGTTGACAGAATTGGTATCTACTATTAATCAACTCATGTTTCCCTTCAACTTAGGAAAATCCATTTAGCAAAAGAGAAATAATTATTTTCTTATCCTTTTTACATCCAACCAGCTAAAACCAAGTATTTTTGTTGCTATTTTACATTAACCTAACTTCAGGATTTAATTTTTGAAAGTAAGCATGAGTGTCCTACCAATTAATTTCCTTGGGGATCATTACAAGTTAACACTTGAGGGGTAGATGACTATGATTTTTACAAACTGGGCAACACTGAGGGATGTTGGTTGTTCTTTCTTGAAAGAGGCCCTAGTTTATCCATTGACAAGATCTCATAAGGAATTAGTTGGTAATGTTTAGATAGCAATTAACAGAATGCATTTGGCTTTTCCTTTTTGTACTGCCTGAGTATCATTCAGATTCATTTGATAACCTTGAATGTTAATAAAAATAAACTCTTCAAGGAGTGTCGTTTGAGAGGTCTGGACCAGCTGGGCTTGTGAAAGGATCAAGATACCTTTGGCTAAAGATTTACTACATCCCTCCTTCGAAGAGGAAAAGAAAAAACATAAAAAGAAACGGCTAGTTCAAAGTCCAAACTCTTATTTTATGGATGTAAAATGTCCAGGTTGCTACAAGATTACCACAGTTTTCAGCCATGCTCAGCCAGTGGTTCTTTGTGAAGGCTGTTCAACAGTGTTGTGCCAGCCTACAGGAGGAAAGGCCAGACCCACAGAAGGGTGTTCATTTAGAAGAAAGCAACACTAATGATCTACACAACTTCCTGAATTTGTGTTATCTTACACAAAGCCTTATCATAAGTTCAGTAATTCTAGTTAATCTACCAAAATAATTACATTTGATTTTATAAGGTATATAACAGTGGTCTCCTATTTTGGTGTCAGTTTTTCAATAAAGTTTTGATTATGGGGAAAAAAATTAAAAAAAAAAAAAAGAAACTCTTCTAAAATGTATTGAAAGCATTGAAGGGGAAGCCTGTGCTTTTCACTTCAAAGGCATCTTCTAGTTACTCTTTAGGTCCACATTTCTAATCAGATGGGAGCTACTACCAGGAACTTCTTATCTTTTTGCCTAGATTAGTTCACTATTTCAGCCAAGAGTATAAATGATTGTCTCCACCATGAGAGACTAACCTTTGGGAATCTAAGATAGACTTTGCTTCAAATTTTATTCTGTTATTAGTATGTATAAGGGTTTGAATATTTATTAATACTTATTACAACATTGTTGTGATGTTGAGTTTATGAACTTCCTGATATTTGAAGGTGCTCAATAATGGTTTCTAGCTGGGCATGGTGGCTCACACATGTAATCCTAGCACTCTGGGAGGCCCAGGCAGGAGGATTGTTTGAGGTCAGGAGTTCGAGACCAGCCTGAGCAAGAGCAAGACGCCATCTCTACTAAAAATAAAAATAAATTAGATGAGCAACTAAAAATAGACAAAAAAATTAGATGGGCATGGTGGCACACGCCTGTAGTCCCAGCTACTCAGGAGGCTGAGGCAGGAGGATCACTTGAGCCCAGGAGTTTTAGGTTGTGGTGAGACAGGCTGATGCCACAGCACTCTAGCACAGGCAACAGAGTAAGATTCTTTCTCAAAAAAATAAAAAATAAATAAAATCCCAAACTGGTTTCTATTATTAATATATCTCATCACTGATTCACATACCCTTTTCCATTACACAGATCATTATCCTATTGGACAAATACCTCACTACTTTCATCTCAAAAAATGACTGGAACAAAAGATCCTTTTCTACTCATAAGTCCAAATTTTAAAATATACTATTAAAAATGTGTTTTTCCAATTCTCAAAATATTACATCTTCATTATTTAAATTGAGAAACCAAATCACAGAAAAGGAGGAAGGAAATTACCCATAGCTACCTTTCCCACTTATTATAATGAGTATTTTGGGAGTTTTCTGGAGTTTTTATTATTTTTTTTGCAAATAGGAAAGATATATAATGAGTATTTTTACAAACCCTTATTAAGTATTATTTTACCTCAGCTATTTAAAAAAATTTCAAACCCAAAGAAAGTTGAAAAACAGTACTATGATTACCCGTACTTTATCTTTTTTTCTTAAATATTAACATTTTGCCCTATTGACACTCATTCTCTCACTATTACGCTCTTGCTCGCTCACTCATTCTCTCTCTCTCTCTTCTCTCTCTCTCTTCTTTTTGGTTGGACAATTTGAAAGTAAATTGCCAACATCATCTTACTTCATCCCCACTACTCCAGCATGTTATCTCCTAAGAACAAGAACATAATCACAGTATCTTTATTACACCACAGATATTTAACACTATCTTATTCATTCTTTTATAAACTGTACACTCATTTTATTCATTAAATCTACTGTATAGGGTTTCCATAATTTTATATTCTTGTATTCTGACTATAAAAATACAGTATATATTCATTATAAAAAGAACACAAATATTACAGAAATTTATACTTTTGTATTCATGTGTTAGGGCTGCTATAACAAAATACCATAAAGTGGTAGCTTATAAACAATAGAAATTTCTTCCTCTCAGTTCTGGAGGCTGGGAAATCCAAGATCAAAGGAAGATTTGGTGTCCTGCGAGGGACTACTTGCTTTTTCATAGAAGGGATTTTCAAACTCCATATTTGCATGAAGAAAGGTGCAAGGCCACTCTCTGTAGCCTCTTTCATTAGGGTACTAATTATATTCATGAGGGCTCCACCCTCGTGATCTAATTGCCTACCAAAGACCCCACCTCCCAATTAGGTTGTCCTTTTTTTTTTTTTTTTTGAGATGGGTTCTTGCTCTGTTGCCCAGGCTAGAGTATGGTAGCATCATCATTATTAGCTCACTGCAATCTTGAACCCTTGGGCTCAAATGATCCTCCTGCCTCAGCCTCCAGAGTAGCTGAGACTACAGGCACATGCCATCATGCCCAGTTACTTCTATTTTTTGTACAGATGGGATCTCACTATGCTTCCCAGGCTTGTCTTGAATTCCTGGTTTCAAGTGATCCTCCTACCTTTGCCACCCAAAGTGCTAGGATTATAGGTGTGAGCCACTGCACCTTAGGTTTTCAACATATGAAGTTTGGGTGGTCATGAACATTCAAATCATAGCACTTTTTAAGTAAAATTTGAGAGATTAAATCAAAATGACAGATTGAACAAATGTTCCAGGCACCCTCACGTTCCAGTGCCCTCACATCCCACATTCGTAAAATGGAGTAATTATATTTATTTTAAATTAAGTGATAGTATTTCCTAACTCCTAACTGTGAAGGCCCAGATGCAATGAACAACCAAAACAACATGTACTCCAGCAGCCAGATTTTAGTCTCTCAATACCATTCCCCCGTAAATGGAGCAAAGGCTCCTTAGACATACAACTGTTCTCAGGTCTAGGGCAGGAAATATATAGGATGAACCTAGGATATCATAGGAGTTATCACAGACTAAATGGTCAAACTGATAAAAAAAATTTATATATTGAAAAGAGTCACTAGAGGGGTAGGGGAACAAATAACATATTAGGATACAGGCCGGGCTCGGTGGCTCACGCCTGTAATCCTAACACTCTGGGAGACCGAGGCAGGAGGACTGCTCAAGGTCATTAGTTTGAAACCAGCCTGAGCAAGAGTGAGACCGTCTCTACTAAAAATAGAAAGAAATTAATTGGCCAACTAAAAATATATAGAAAAAATTAGTCGGATATGGTGGTACATGCCTGTAGTTCCAGCTACTTGGGAGGCTGAAGCAGAAGGATTACTTGAGCCCAGGAGTTTGAGGTTGCTATGAGCTAGGCTGATGCCACGGCACTCTAGCCTGGGCAACAAAGTGAGACTCTGTCCCCCCGCAAAAAAAAAAAAAAAAAAAAAAAAAGGATATAATGTTATTATTGACTGATTTCTTATCAGATAAAATGAAAGCTAGAAAACATATAAGTGACATATTCAAAGTGCTAAAAGAAAAAACAAGAGTTAGCCAAAAGTCCATATCCAGAAAAAGTCTGAGGTTGCATGTCAAACAAAGACATTTTCAGATACATAAAAATTGAGAGAAAAAAAATGGAGAGAATTAATTGTCAGTAGGCCTGCATTTATAAAAGATACTAAAGGAACTTCTTCAGACTGGAGCAAAATGGCACAGGATGGCAACTTGGAACTCCAGGGAAAAATAAGATATCAGAAATCTTAGTGAGTAAACAGAAAGGAATATATCTCTTTTTTTCTCTTAAAGTCTTTAAAATACACATGAGGAGCCAGGTGCCATTGTTCATGCCTGTAATCCCAATACTTTGGGAGGCTGAAATGGGAGGATGACTTGAGTTCAGGAGTTCAAGACCAGCCTGGACAACATAGCGAGACCCTGTCTGTAGGAAAAAATAAATAAATAAATTAGCCAGGCATAAATGTGTGTACCTGTAGTCCTAGCTATCGGGAGGCCAAGGCAGGAGGATCACTTGAGCCCAGGAGTTTGAGGCTCCTGCGAGTTATGAATCATGCCACTACACTCCAGCCTGGGAGACAGAGTTAGATTCTGTCTCAAAAAAATAAATAAAATAAAATAAAAATAAGCATTTCTTCATTGCATTGAAATTGTTAAACACACACAAAAAAGAGATAAAAGATATAAAGTATAAAATTATTTTAAGAAAATAATAAGCATTTCAAGCAAAATTTATGATGCTATGTTGAGTTGATAACATTTGTAGATGCAAATTATATAACATCATCACCCAAAGGATAAAGATAAATGGAACTATAGTATTGCAAGATACCTATATTTTATTTACAATAATTCAATATTGATGATTATTAGATTGTAATAAGTTCAAGATGCACACTGTAATCTTTAGCAATCTCTAAAAATAATGCAAAAAAATATAGCTAAAATGCCAATAGAGTTATTAAAATGGAAAGCTAAAAAGAAGCATGAAAGAACAAAAAGGGAAAAAACCATTTGAGTGAAAATAGAAAGTAAATAGCAAAATGAAAGACCTAAATCCAAGCATGTGAATAATCACTTTAAATATAAACAGATCAAACATTTCCAAAAGTGCAGTAATTGACACCCAAATCACAGGCAACAAAAATAAAAACAGATAAATCAGACTACATCAAAATTAAACACTTCCATTACATAAGCAAAAAAAATGCATCTGAAAAAAAAAACCTAATTAAATTAAGCACTTCTGTTTCTCAAGGGAGATATTCACCAGAGTGAAATTAACCTACAGGATGGAAGAAAATATTTGCAAGTGATATATCTGATAAAGGGTTATTATCCAAAATATATATTTATAAGAATTCCTATAACTCAACAAAAAAATCACCTTGATTTAAAAATAAACAAAGAGGCCAGGTGCGGTGGCTCACGCCTGTAATCCTAGCACTCTGGGAGGCCGAGGTGGGAGGATTGCTTGAGGTCAGGAGTTTGAAACCAGCCCTAGCAAGAGTGAGACCCTGTCTCTACTAAAAATAGAAAGAAATTAATTGGCCAACTAAAAATATATAGAAAATTAGGCTGTTGGTGGCGCATGCGTGAGTCCCAGCAACTCAGGAGGCTGAGGCAGAGAGATTGCTTGAGCCAGAGTTGAGGTTGCTGTGAGTTAGGCTGATGCCATGGCACTCTAGCCCGGGCAAAGAGTGAACATAAGAAAATAGGTGCCGGGCTCACGCTACTGCTCTCTGGGGAGGGGCGGACGCTCGAGTCGGGAGTCGAACCAGCTGAGCAAGAGCGAGACCCGTCTACTATAATAGAAATACAATTGCAACTACTATTATAGAAAAAGCCGGCTGTTTGGTCATGCTGGTAGGGGGGGGCAAAGGATCGCTTGAGCCAGGAGTTGATGGCTTGTGAGTAGGCTGACTGAGACTCACTCAGCCTGGAACTATAGTAAGACTCTGGTCTCAAAAAAAAAAAAATAGAAAAAAAAA